TTAAATGCGTCAAGCCACCACAAATGGCAAAGGCAATCAGTTCAGCAAGCTGCAATCACTTCTTAGTGATAAATTAGTGGCAGAGGCAAGACAACAGTCACGGTCTCTGGGGCCTCACTTTTCGCCCTTGTTTCTTGTCCACTTTGCTCCATCCTGCACATGTAAATGTTGGCCCTGGCCATGCAGCATTTCTTTCCAGTGAACAAACATTTGGTTAACTTTGAACATCAAACTTTCTTATACTTAATCAGCCAGTTTATTAGAGCATGAAGGAAAATTGGTCATGACTTCAGTTTCTGTACTGCTGGAATTAACAAGCTGGCTGATGCCAGCACTAAACTTGGAAGCGCTAATGGTAATTAAAATCTATTTTCAAATACATCTGACAGTTTTAAGGTGAAGTATTTGTTATTCATGTGAATTTCCAGACTATGCGTAAAAAAATGTGCTACTTTCTTCACAAAGGTGTCAGCTGTGGGAACAACATAATTAGTTATTAATTAATTATTAATTCTCTCTGATACAGCATTTGTTCCCTTTTAGTGAGTATATAGCAATACGTGTCCTCCACAGTCTCTGAGTAAGGAAAGCTTGAAACTAGAATTTACAAGCATTGCTATTTTAGTTACCCTGTTTTGCACACACACACACCCCTACATATATCTGAGAAAGATATGACAACATAGTGCTAATATTGAAGCTGATATAAATTATCAGTAGCTTTATCATCATTTGACAAAAGTCCATGTAGCCAAACCAGTCAATTTTCTCTCAGGTGCATTTTGGTGAAATACTTCATATTAACAAAGTACTCCAACACCTAGCTCAAATGAGACTTTGTTCTTCCAAAAGGTCATCTTAATTATTCAATATATTCACACTATGTGGGGTGGAAGATAAAGGGAGAATAATCCTACTTTGTTTTCCACTTTGTCTTCTAAGCCTGCTTCCTGGCTAATTCAGTCTATTGGATCAGTAGGAGAGACATGGGATAGATTCAAAAAATGTTGACTGTCAGATCACCAGGGGATTTGAATTAATGTTCTTTTGCAGAGAGTGGAGGCATATGGGCCACAGAGTGCAGTTCTCCTTGGAAAATTACTGTCAAAACAGTACCATCTCAATTAACATAGCTGCTGACTTGTGAAGCAGGAATCAGATTTTTCTTGAGTTAACCTTCAAAAAGCAGTTTCAGAGTAACTGCTAATAACCTCTTGCTACACCAACAATATTGCCTCATAATAGCTTATGCAAGTCACACCTGTACAACTCCACAAGTGCTACTGTAGCATATAACATTCTATAGACCCTCTCACGATAATGTGAAGGAAGGAAAGTCATACTCATCCCTGACAATTGCTATCAAGATCCCATTTTCCTCCTGTAAAATGGGAAAGCACTTTTGATCGAATACCCCTCATATAAATAATGAGAATTTCACAGTATGAGCTTATTGCTCAATTTGCTTGCATTTCAGCTGATTTCCAAGGCTGAAGTTGTTTTTGTAGCTAATCAGATACAGACATTTCTTTTTGACATTTCTCCCACAGATGTTCTAGCTGGCTTCCCCACCAATTTCCATGAAAAATATGGAAGATCTCTTATGTGTAATTTCTTTATGTGCAAGCTATGAAATGTTTTATCTGAAGAGATCATTAACATCTGAAAGTTAAGCTCTAAGGATAATGAGAGGCTGCAGCTAAAGCTTTATCTACACATGAAGTAAGACTGCAGCCCAGTAAACAACCTCTTCTGCAGAAGCCCCTACCCCTCTCAGTATGTATCAAAAAGGGGTCAAGAGGAATTCTCTCAAACTACTATCAACTTACACCACTAAAAAATTACAAATAAAAAGAGACATTCCAGCTATTAAAAATGCATGAAACAGTTGCATGAATTTATTGCATCAATTTACTAATGTCTTAAAAGAAATATAATTAAAATTAACCTCAAAACAATGGTACTTGCATCAAGAGAAAATTTAATCTCTCTGATACTTTCACTAGTATAAAATGTAGGTCTCTGACCTCATTCACTATGCATAAAGACTGGAACAAGTCTCCCACACAAATGTGACTAGTTCAGATTTTTATAATGAAGAACATCAGGATACCAATGGAATGTGAACCTTCAAGTACAGAGTTAGTTGGTTCTTTATTGTGCCTATTACACCTCAAGATTCCTGCAGAATATGATTTTATTTTCCATATGCATCAAAATTTATGTAATTTGTTTTTAGAGACACTAGAGATTCTGAGTGCTAAATATAAGAAACAGGTAAGGAACCTGTTTTACAGAGGGTAGCTCTGAAAAATATTATTCAAAGATGTACTGACTGGGACTTTTCTTTTTGTTTCTGTATGTGCAGGTAAATGTTTGGGCTTTTAAGTATTGTGCACATAAACATGCTCTTAAGCAAGAAAATTGCTTGAGTGGTTTGGTTTCAGTCTGAGTAAAGGGTTTGTCCTAAATTCAGGGTAATGCTATGATATCACTAGGACATGCATTCTGCAGCTATCTTTGGCAAATATATGAAGAATATCTGATATATTTTGAGGTTCCCTGTGTTAGCTATGTATTTTTGCAGCCCTTTTGAAGTAGATTACTCATTCTTCTCAGATAAAAAAAGCAAACCATTTGCTCATAATTTACTCTCTTTTAACATTTACCTTCTCTATACAATATTACAAAAAATGTTGGAGTTTCCCCTTGCTGCTAAGTGTAAAAGCTTCATGGTTTCTGATGAGCTCAGTTTAGCACACTTAATTGCTTTCTTTACTATGACAGGAGTCAATACAAAGCAAGTAACACACATACACAAAAGTTACTTAATAAGGACCAAGTACATTTTGTCACAGATGGTAATTCAGCATTCCCACACTAAACCTGAATGAAATATTTATTATTATATTTTTGCTTACCCTGCTTTTTTAATAATTGCATTTATAAACTTTAAAGCAAATCACTGTTAAATGTTGAGCTTTGCCTGAAGCCACCTGAGAATCCAGTCATGAGTCTTTGGACAATAGGCTACAGTGTAAAAATCAAGGCAAAAAAGATATTTTCTTGATTCTTTTCCCTCTTTCACCTCTTGTACATTGTGCTAAAGGGCTGGTTTCAGTGCAATGTGAAAAAATTCTGCAGATCAGACACATTTCAATGGGCATTTCAACCTTTCAAAAGCAAAGTAGTCGCCATTACGGTTTTACAACACATGGTAGGGAAGAAACACTAACATTGAGAAACTTCAGTTCCTAATTATCAGAGGATAAATGGACACAAAGTTATCAAGCAAAATAATCTGAACAGCATCAAAAGCAATAAATGTTCCATAGGAAACAAATTTGGTAAATTTTAAGGGCATTACAACTATTCACTATAACTTGTTCAAGAACTTTAACTTATTTGGTACTCCATTAAATTATTTTAACCCTTTTTAAAAAATGAATAAAATTACTCAATTTCATTTAACTATGGAATTGTTTTTTAAAAGCAATTTGCAATATCTAAACTCTCAAATATCTTTTTGTTTCCTTCAGTTTATTTCTCTTATCCAGCTTTTTATGAGTCATCTGAATTACTTCTAAATCACAAACACATTTGGGTGATTTGGAAAACAACTGTAAAAAGAGCGACTCATCCCGAATTATTAAAATGACGACTGTAAATGTATTTTTTTTTTAAAAGCCTTTTTATAGCTTGTTTATGCATGGCTTTCTCAAATCATCATTGCAGGAGTGGTACTGACCTGCAACAGGAAGGTACCCTTCAGCTCCTGTTGCTGAATTCTGAAAAATGATGCAGAATTGCTGAATAATTTGCCCTCTCAAAATGATGTAGCTATTAACAAGACAAGAATGTAGCTATTAACAAGACAAGAAGGAAATTACTTCTTACCTAAAAAATTACAATTCTGTCACGAATACAGTAACTTAAAATGCTGGGTTTTGTAATTTTTTGAGGGTAGAAATGCCTTTTGGCTTGCATTTGCTTCCTTTGCTAACAGGAAGGGAAAAAAAGAGGTGTGGAAATGTCTGCAAAGAGCAGAAGTAGGCCTGTTAAAGCAATACAGAATATTGCTGTGGGAGAAGAAAACACACTTTTTGCAAGAGAAAAATGTTTAACAGATAATGGAAGGTCAGGTAAAAAGAAAAATGAGGCATTGCCTGGACATCAGGATGGGGTGAGCAGAAGTATTGCACAGCAGAGCCTCTTCAGTCTTCTGCAGAAGCTGGGTATATCCAACTCTGCCCTGGAGAATAAAGCCACATGGGATGATTTTGCTTCACATGCTCACAGCACACACAAAATGTCTTGCTGATTAATGTAAAACTGTGTGCAAGTGGCTTCTGCCACCAGTTTTTTTGATTGATACACCTCTAGTGGAAGATGTAGACAGGCTGGTGCTATAAAACTTTCTTCATCCCAGACAAAGATGGAAATCAGTGCCACATCTGTCCCCAAAAACCAAGACAGTCAAAAGAATATCCATTGCCTTACCCAATTTCTGGATTTTCAAAGAGGCTGTCAGGATTTTCACAGCTTGAAGGCAAGTGAGAAGGCAGATGGCAGAGAAAAGCTTTCCAGTGAGGGAACAGAAACACCCCCCCAATATTCTGACCATGGAAATCACAGGGAAATTGTCCTAACACATCAGAACGTCTAAATTGGGCCAGAGTGGTACAAGGACATGATCACACCTCCTGATAACATGTCCACTGGCTCGGGGCTGTGGAGATTCAGGGCTTTCCTCTCTTTCATGAAACCACCTCAGTTCCATGAAACTCAGTGAGGCTGAGAAGCAATGGGCAAGATTCACAGATTAAAATACTGTAATTCCATCTCACAAGACAGCACTACAACCAGGAAAAGAAATCCTGCACATGAAGTAGCTGGAAGTCAGTGCGGTGCTGAGGAAGAGGGCTGCCTCAGGAGACCACCAGGGATCAGAGGCAGCCTGGCAAATCCACTCGGCCCATCCACCCTTTCCCAGCGACATCACCAGGAATTCCACCAAGTGGTTGAATTCCTATTTTGCCTTGAGGCCCACTTTATTTTATACAGTAGGGGTTTCACTTTTGCATTGGGTGTAACTAAAAGGTGAGGCAAATGTGAAAATTCTTCTATTTGGCATATGCCTATTTAAAGTACATTTTACTAAAATACATTGTCAGTTTCTGTCTCTGTCAAAAGCTGTATACATCAGACCTCTTATGGGATGTTCTAGAGAGTATTGATTCCAAAATGGCTCTGCTCTCCTCTCATCATCACCTGGCACTCAATTCCAAATCTTCCTGTGTCTCCTATGGGAATAAATGTGTTTTGACAAGTTGTAGAGCTTCCTATTTCAAAACTTCCCTCTTCTTCTGGGAACTGCTCAATTTCCTCAAATCCTTTCATTTTTTCATTTCTTTTTAATAGCAGAGAAACAGAACCACTGAGAAACAACATTACCAATTACTGTTTTGGCATAAACTCTAGTGCTTTTGGGACACAGGTGCCATTCTAAGTGTACTTTGACTCGGCATTTGCTATTGTTAACACCCACAATAACCATATATTAACAGAAATGTAAGGCAGTGGCCTGTTTTCTGGAGCCTGGCAGAAAAAACAAATATATAAACTTTACACATCTCTGTGGTCCAAGACAGGTATATGGGAAAAACTTTCTCCATGGCAAGGGGAATAAATCTATTCAAAAATTCAAACAGAACAGAATATGCAAAAATAAGTGAAAGAGTGGAATATCTGAAATCTAAAATAAATTAAAAGTCTCAAAGAGTTAATGACATAATGAGCAGGTACAGGACACAAACAGTGCATAGCTAAAATGTTCCTATGGAAACAAAAGATAAAATGAACCCCGCTGTAAATGTTAAGTGATTGCCTTGCCAAACACCCCCCTGACCTACAGGAATGTACAAAACTGTCAAACTCCAATTTTATAACCAAATTCCACCTTTATTATCTCCTGTGTTATTCTAGGTAAAGGCCAAGGTCCTCATCAGACTAACACTGAGAATGAGAAAAAAGGTGCCAGGCCTAGTCCATAAGGGAGTATGAGCAGGAACTGAGACTGGCCCCAGCACAGGAATCAAAGGGCAGGGCACAGCCCCACTGAATCTGGAAGCAGGAGGTGAAGACAGTCAGTGCAGATGGGCAGAGCCCATTCACCAGAGCCCCAGACATGTTTCAGAGATGAACTGGTCCAGGGTATTTCCAGGGATTCTAATCAGGAGTAGGAGGACAGAGCTGGAGACAGTGCTGGAGAGAAGGTTGCAATGCAGTTTCAGGACCCACACAGGAGACAGGTACCCCTGCTGACACTGCTCAGGGCAGGACTGGGCTGCTCAGGGTAACTGAGGCCCATCACTGCTCTCACGGCCTGAAACAGTAACATTGACACACAATGTGCTTTAGTACAACTTATGTACACTTTTGTTAGATGAAGTGCTGGTGATATGTGATGCCTTACCAAGGACAGTAGGGCTGTTTATGGATTTTGGGCAGTTTATTACCGTTGCTTCAGTTTTTTTGCGACTTGTGTTTCTTTTTCATAATGTGCAATAATCTGAACAATTATGAGGCTGTTAATTAAAAGGAAAAGCAAGCCTGCCATCCATATAAATAAGTAAGTGTTATATCCTTTGAACTCCAGAAAGAAGGCAGGAGTAAGCCACAGGCCTTGTCCCATGAACCACAGACAGAGAAGCAGCAAGGCCCTATGCCAGGACATCTTAATACTAGGCATTACAAGGGGCAAAAGGCAGAGATACCAGACAAAGTACTGGGATGTGCATACTTTGTTAAAAGTCACAAAAATAGTGGTGTGTAGGAAACAACTGAAGGCAAGGTCTCTGTAGAACGCTATGGAAATAATCAGGAGCAAAAGCAGCTGGGGCAGGAAAGCTGCCAGCCCAAGGGCAAAACTCCATTTGCTCTCTGCTGTCAAGTACAACATGTAGAAATACGGAGAGAAGTTATGACGGATATCCCTCCTAGTCAGGTGATAGAGGTAGGCGTGCTCCAAAAACTCCCAGCCATACAGGTGATAAAATGCCACAGTCAAGGCGGCCAACACTGATCCGGCAACTGTTCCAAAGAGCAGCACGTCGCGGTTCAACATCGTTACCAAGAGGTGCCAAAGGCGCGCCATGACCGTGCCCTTTGCCGCCCTGTCCCGCAGCTCCCCGCGGCCCGGCGCGGCGCTCAGGCGGAGCGCTATGGGCAGCGCGTAGCTCACGGGATAGATTTTCATGTGCACGGCCAGCCCGTAGCACACGGCGGCCTTGCCCACGCTGCCCGCCTCCACCCAGTAGAGCGTGGCGAGCACCAGCAGCGCCACCAGCGCCTCCGCGTTGCCCCGGCTGGACACGGCCATGGGCAGCGGGTTCAGGAGCCAGGCGGCGGCGCAGCACCCACAGGCGCGGCCGGCGGGGGTCCCCCGGCGCCGCAGGGCCCGGTAAGCGACGACGGCAGCCGCCAGGTCCCCGGCCACGAAGAGCAGCTTCCCGAAGGCCTCGGTGAGGAGCACGTTAGGCGTCAGCAGCCAGGCCAGGAGCGGCGTGTAGCGGTAGGTGGCCCGCCGGTAGGGCGAGCGCCCCTCGGTCACCAGCCGCGCCGCGTCCGTGAACACCCGGTAGTCGACGTCGGTGTAGCGCACCCGCATGGTGCGGTCCTGGTGCAGCCCGTACAGCACCAGCGCCAGCCTCGCCAGCAGCCCCACGAGCAGGGCCGCGCCCACCCCCGCCATCCGATCCGCGTGGGGCGGGGGGAAAGCGGGAGCCGGGAACGCGGGAGCGGGAACACACGGGGCTCGGGCGGTCTCCGCGGACGGGGCGCGGGCGGCCGCGCTCGCTGCCGCTTCCGCCGGTGTGCGAGGAGGAGGCGGCCCCACGCCTGCGCGCTGCGCGCCGAGCCGGGCCCGGGCGGGGCGGGCCCGCGCTCCCTCCGGCCCGGCGGGGAGAGGGGCCGGGACCGGGCATGGGGCGCCGCTGGGCCGGGGCGCTGTGGGGAGGGACCGTGGGAGGCGGTGGGCAGCGTGCCTGTACTGCGGGCTGAGAGCCTGGCAGGACATCGGCACCGGGGTCCGGGGAGAGCTGCGGGGCACCGCCCCCGCGCTGCCCCCGGCACCGCCGCTGCCCATTGCCCCTCAGCCTGCCCTGCGCTGTCGGCTGCACGGGCAGAGAGGCGGCAGAGGCAGCAGTAGTTAAGTAAGAGGGAAAAACAACATCTGTTATTTACCTTCCGCAAGTGGCGGTGTTTTGCCTAGACGTATGAGCGCTCTCCGGAGCGCTTAGGTGAGCTTCCTGCCGCAGCAGATTTCTCATTTAATTAGATCGTAAACAGCGTCGTGAAAATCGGAGCTTAGAGAGAGTCACTCACAACAAAGGAATTAATTCCGCTCTATTTTGAGGGCCTATTATGTATGTTTTTCAGATAGTTTTCCTGTCTAGTTATTTGCCATTTCACATTTGAATTGGGGCTGATTGAAAAACAGGCATTTATTACTTATTGCTATTGCGGGTTTCGTATTAGAACTTATAAGGGATTTTCTTAGAGATGCTTTATTAATCAAAAATATGAATTTGCTTGTTTAGTAGTTAGTTGCAACCTCACTGTTTTTGCTGAGTGGTTTCATTTGGGAATATTTTGGGAGCTGTAGCGTTGATGGCTCACATCACTTACAGGAAATAATCTGCTTTTTCTCAGTTCTGGGGCCACCCATCAAAGAACTGGGAACAGATCTTTTGCATTTGGCAGAGGCATCTTGGAGGGCGGCCTAACTGGTAGGATATTCAGGGAACAAAAGATATTTTTGTTTCTGTGCACACAGTTACTGATTTTTATCTGTTAAGGTTGATCTTCTGTATATAACAGTACAATGGGATATAGTCTGAAATATCTGATGGGAGAAGCATAGTAACTAATCTGGAGAGTCAGTTTTTCCTCTGTCAGATACTTGCATTTTTTACTAAACTGGACATCTTCAATAGGAAATCTCAAGGGAATTCTCCATTAACTCACCATATGATGTCATGAAGTCCTAAAACTCATTGTTAGGATGTTTTTGGGAAAGGGAATGAAGGTGGTTGTTGATCCTTGGTAAATAATTGCTTGTTCACTATTGCTGTTCTACTTTAGAACGGGAAAGATTGGTAACATTTTCTTTTTTTTCCTCTTTTATGTATCTTGTACTAATGGTTGCGGTACTTTTAAAAATGCTTCCATCCCCATAACCATTGTTGTGCTTTTATCTGGAAAAGCTAGGAGATCGATACTGAATAAAATCACTGGGACTGAAATAACTTGGAAGTAGATATATGTAGATACTACTGATTTTTTGGTTTAGAAAAGTTTGCAAAGAACTATTCTTGCTATCTGCCACCGTTCTCCCAGGATTGTTTGCTGTTTTGATGCCTTCATGGATGGAACATGTTTTATTATTTCTGACCCTTGGAGGAAGCTGTTCATGGTCAGATCAGAACACATTGTAGTTTATTTGCTTAAGTGTCCAGGTTTAATGACATTGGTGGAATAATATGAGTTTAATAAATAAACTTAGGAGTAAGCTGGTGTCTCATGGTTTTCTTGTCTGTTTCTGACAGTCTGTTTTCAGACAAATCTTTTATCTGACATTAACCGAAGTTGTTAAGCTGTCGGTAGTGACTGTTTATCAGGATTCTAAAGAGGAACAAAGTAGGTAATTTAATTCTAAAGGGTCATGAGGTAAATAAAACAGAAAATCTGCCTTAGCTACTCTGACTGTATGACATTGCCTGAGCTGGAAAAAGAATTGATTTTCTTATCAATAATTTAACATCTTCAAAATATGCTTGAAGCTCTTTGGAGAATTAAGATTTGGCTCAAAAATGCATTTGGCTTCAGATTTGATACCAGCTTGCTTAACCTGATTTGTCATGTACTGTAGACTTTAATGCAGGAAGGAGGGCAGTCTTATAAAAGTTATAAATCTGTTGTTCCTGTAAAAAGCTGCTTTTATTTATATCAGTCACCATGAGCCACTTTTAGAAAATGCTGGGAGATAAAAGCTGATAGAACTACTGGGACTGAGGCTGATTGATTCCAGTGCACACGAAGGTACAAACAGCATGAAGAAAAGTGTGGAGTTGCCATTACATAAATAGGATTACATATGTATGTGTATATTCACATGGACATAAAGGTTTTATTTCACTACCTGCCAGGCATTTTGTTTACATGGTCTCAAAGATGGACCATCTTATAAACTGAGGTCACTTCCAAATTTGCTTCTATTGCCTACTTGTGATGGGGGATTATAGACCTGAACTCAAATATTAACTTCTCGCTTCACCTTCTGTAATAGAGACTGCTTGAGCAGCGCCAGGACGTATATTCCATAAACTATCTCCTAGGAGCTGCCACTACTTAAGATTTACATAGCAGTGGTAGCATTAAAAGAACCATGACCTTGGCACTGGTTGTGCAAGCATTCTAAAACCTAATGGAAGTTTTAACCATCTAAAAACCAAGGTACAACTGGAGGGTGGTAGCTGGAGTGAAGGAGACAGTGCTGTGCTGGTTCCTGCTCAGCCAGGGGCAGTCCACACATTTGGCCAGGTTCTTGCCTTTCAGGGGTTTACTCTCCACACTAAGGTGGAAAGCTATGCTTTGAGAAAGGTTAAGCTGAGGCTACGGCCATCAGCAAAGATGAACATATGGTCGAAAGGGCACACAAGGGCTAAATATTGGAGGGACTAACAGATTAAATCTGAGAACTTTGAGGATAATAAAGAGGCTAGTGAAGGTTGCAAATGAGAAGAGGATTCTGTTGAGGTAACATAAGGGAGATGTTGTAACTGGTAGCAGTGCAATGAAGAACAGAACAGGTGCTGAGTTGTGATGGTGAGAACCTTACTTAAGATCCAGGTGGCCTGGGCGGCTGGACAAGCTGGAATATCTGAAAAATTATGGAAGAAAGAGCAGTAAAAGGCATTTTAGGAGGAAGGCAGTTGAAGGATGCTTCCATATGCTGTATTTTAGGTCATTCTACAGACATCTCAGGGTGAGACATTTCTCATGCAAGTCTCCTCTCAAAATCTAATTGTTAATGGCTAGCTATGTTTTTAGACTTTGTTGTTATGAGATAAAATTTGATCATAAGAACTGTATGTTTTTCTGTAAATTGTCATACTGTATGTATGCAGTGACTCAAGTCTATATGTATAAAAGGTGGTAGGAAAGTTGAGTATTTAAGGAAGTAAGGAAGATACTGGGCAATAGCTGGTATTAGGTCTTCAGACTTCTGAAAGCAGAGACTGCCGTGTTATAATGTATTAGAGTTCCCTTTTAACTCTCTTGGGTTTTGGACTCAGAATGTTTCCTTGCATGAGAAGTATTCCTGCCTAATATATTTGTAAACTGACAGTAAGTTTTTGATAATATGATAAGTACAATCTGTTTCTTGTAGCGCATGAAATTCTGTAGAAAAAGTGACTAACACTTTTCTTAGATATTTTGAGCTTGATAAAATTAATTGGCTTTGCAAATAGGATTGATGCCTTTCAAGTATTTGTAGTGTGTTGATTATTAGATATTATTAGCAAAAGAGAAATATAATTAAGATTATGTAAAGAAGTGTTTGTTTCTGCTTTAATACTGGAATGAGTAATACAGGAGAGTTTGCAAAAATTAACTGAAAAACACATTAGAACTCTTCACAGAAGAAAATCACCATTATATATAAAAAACTACCACTCTCCTTTAAGCTTTTTCTGTTAATGTATTTTCTTAAACTGCCTGATAAATCTATACCCTTATTCAGACATTGTGCTATAAATATGGCTACTTGGAGAATGTGATTGGAGTTGTAAAGGAATTATTTTTTTTTCACCACATTGTGATTTTGCACAGTATGCTTTCAAGTGGTGTGGGCAGAGTTCTGCTTGCAATGGTTATGCTGATTTTATGTCAGTGTGTTAGGTACAATTCCAGCCCTTCAGGCAAAATAAGTACTGGATAAAAATTAGTCTGTGGGGTAACCTCTTAAATTTACCATTACAAGGAAAAGAAAATATTATATCTGAGAAAACACATGTGGTGGCAAGAAGTCCACGGATGTATGATGCTGGCCTAGGGGGCAATTGCAAAGATATGGCCTGTTTTGCTTTAAGGCCATGGAGAATCTGAGGTGGGATATTGTAAACAGCAGTTGCCTGCATCTAGGATGGACAGTGCCTGGCCCTTACTGCCTGACTTGCAATACCAAAACAAAGCATTTTCCCCCTTTGTGCACTGCTTCTGTAGCTTTAGCTAACGGCACAGGCAGCCCTGTGGATTAGCCCTCCAGAACTGGGAGCATCCAGCTGAGGATTCTGTTGAATTTCCTTTGCTTTAAAATTATTTTTCTATTCACTTGTGCTAATAAAAGGATGCAGAGAGAGAATTGATGAACCCAGGCAAAAGAGAAAGTGGAGCCAAATGACAAATTATGAATTTAGGAGACTGAGGATTCCTGGCACCAGACTGCTGGGTTCTGACCATTGTACAGAATGACACGTCCAGTGGCACCTCCAGAAAGCACCTGTGAAAGGCTAAATCTGATTGTGTTAAGCATCACTTCTTGCTGGCTTTTGAATGTGTAAGGGAAACATTTTGTGCCTTTTTAGTTTATAACTGCCTAAATTTTTTCCAATTCTTTGGAAGGGGAAAAGAGACAAAGCTTGAAATGCAACTTTGCTCTTCTCAGGCTCTGTTGTGTTTGCAGTTACTCACTGAGATAAGAACAAGTAACTGTAATTACAGATAAAGTCTCAAACTAAATCTTGCAGAGTTGGCT